TAACAAACCGGGCTGCCATTTTCCCATCTAATCTCAAGTGCTCCAAAAACTTTTCACCACTGTGCCTGCCACTCTATTCTTGTTATGAAGGCAGTGAAGTGAAATTGACAAGAATCCTTATATTTGAAGAGATAATATCTTGTAAATGTCACTGTGAGGTATGCATAGAACAAAGCAGGACAGCCAGGTATGACAGGAAAGGTTAAGGGTAAGTGTGCTTTCCTGCTACCAAAAACGCAACTAGGGGTTTTTTTTGTTTGTTTTTGCATGCTAACTTCAAATGTCTTCCTTTTAAAAATACATTATTATTTAGGCAAGAGATTTTAGTGTGTGCTTGCTTTTCCTTTGAACCAAGGGAAGGACAGGAGTGCAAAGGAAATCTCTTGGCCTATTTGCCTGAATTTAATTTTGAGGGGGTTTTTTCGTTCTGTTTTTCCTGGAGCAGTTGGGAGAATTTCCAGTGGCAGCAATTCCGAAACTGTTGTCTGAGGACCAATTACTAATTGGCACAAAAGAACTGTCTGGGCACAGGATGATTTTGTTTCCTTTTTCCAGCTGCTTCTACAGGTACCACTTCTTTGCAGAGAGTCTGGATACCTATAGAAGCAGCTGGAAACAAGGAGGATCAACCAGCCTAATTAAGCAAAATGCATCACATTAAATATAGTACAAAATGCATAAGTATTTTCTTAATTCTTTTTTTATGTGATTATAGTAGTTGCCACAGTTATTAGAGGGGGAGGTGTTCTGTGCAATAGGAAAGACATCTGTGGGACACCCATGCTGTGAAAAGGCAGTCAGTCTTTTTCATAATGTGGAGAACTACTGGTCCAGGGGATCTTTTTCCTTCAATCCCCCTGCTTATATTTTTTTGGTTTAATAAAATGTTTTTGCCAGAAAACTAAGGATTAATGATGGAGTCCGTCACCGCATCATATATGTGATAACTACTGATGGAGGACGTTGCCTTCTGTCCATGAGACTACTGTCCCATTGTATCAGTATGGAGTTAAAGGTTATACCATCTTTAGTCACACAAACCCTCTGTGCTCAATCAGAACAGTTTCAAAATAAATTCATAAAATACACATTGTGAAACCTGTATGAGAACACCCTTATTTATTACACAAACGTCTGTTGATCACCTGGAGGTATCCCGCACACTATCCATCTTCACTGGAATAGCTGCTACTTCCAAACTTCTGAGAAACTGCAAAACGATGCTGTTCATTTGAAATCAGTGAGCCACAAAAATGTTTGTTTCTCTCCCCTATATGAGATATTTCTCAAAAAACTTGCACTGGCCTACAGCATGGGACAGACATAATTCAGTCTTTATTTCTGTGACAGGTTTAAGATCTGATATCTCAGGGCTAGATATAAGAGCTTTCTAGCACTGATAAAGGGAGATTCCCAATAGTGTCCAATGAAATGCAGCGTCTATTTCAAGTCCTGAAAAGTCCCAAGATAGTGGTCTTTAAAGGTGTGACATTTTTATCTATCTTTGGGTAACTTTTTAGAGGTGTTAGCTATGTTGTAGTGGATAAGCAGCATATCTAAAATGAGACAGCAACAGTGTCCAAAATACATTTGAACAGGGAGCAGTTTTAGTAAGTTATTTAGCAGGATTTCTGCTTTATCCATATCAGAAATCAGTACCGTTATCTCTACTATATAGAGCTTATAAGAAGATTTGTTCTACTTATCAATGTTTGTGCATGTTTAGCAACCTCATTACTAAAATATGCAGATAGTGCTCTCTGCAAAATGTAAAGTTATTAATAAAAAAGCAAAATAATGACATTAATTCACAATACATTGCAGAGGAAAGTGTAAGATCATTGTCAGGGTGTTTTATAGGAAACAGAACTGGCACTACTTAAGTGCAGCTATTTCTGTGGTGGAACATGCCAACAATACAACATGATTGTTTTTACGAGAGGAGCTGAAGAACTAATTCTGCAATTGAGACTGGGGCGGTACTTTAGGTAGCTATAATAGGAACATATGAATTGCTATATTGAATCCCACCTGTGGTCTGTCTCATCTGGTATCCTGTGTTTGACCCTGGCTAGCACCACATGCTGCACAGAAAGTGCAGGCTAGTCCACAGTAGGCAGATGTAGGATAAGCTTCCTCCATATGAAATATAATTACCCCACATGGAATTCATGCAATATATGGTTACTTTTAAAACATTTTTCTTCCCACAGTCCTGTTTAGTGCTCTGAAGGGAGATAAGAGCTGAGGAATTGACTCAGCATGTTTGGGTTCTGTTCTTGTTCTCAGGTTACCGTTCTAATGTGATCATTCACTAGATGACCTTAGACAATTTACTGAACCTCTGTGTCATTTGACTCCTCTGTATAAGACTTACCTACTCTGCCCATGTGGGATGAAGCTTAAATGTTTGTAAAGTAAAAGAAAAACACTGTAAAGCTTTAAACAGTTATATACCAGTGATATACACTGAATATGGGCAGAGTTTAATGCATGCTTATCAAACTCCGTTTAGTCTATTCAAATTAATGCTATCAAGAAATCAATAATATATTTAAAAAAAACAGATGAGAGGATGTAATGTAAGTACCAAAAAATTATATTTCACTTACAGCATTGCTCTCTCAAAACATGACACTTAAATTACTTGCGTCATGAAATTTGGTTAGCTGTGACGGTGCCACAGGTCAACATAGTGAGTCTGTAGCGTGTTTCAAGCGTGTTCAAGACCATTAGATTGGTGTCATGATGTATGGCACATTTCTACTGTTATAAAGATGATGGCAGTAAACATGATTCACTCTACCTTGGGCAGAGTCTAGCCAAATAAAATTATTTAAAAGGAATGGGAGTAGATGGAGAGTAACCTACTAGCTGCCCAGACTCTTAAATTTGGAACAGAGCTATAGAGAATGTACAGTGAGAATAATGTTAGAAAAATCTTTTTAAAATGGTAAAACAGTAGGTTATGGAATCCTCTGAGTGTATATATATATCTGTGTATGATATTTGTATTGCAGTTGCACATGACTTACAAGGAGAGGCTGAGGGAACTGGCCAGAAGAGAAGAGTGAGGGAATTTGATAGCAGCCTCCAACTACCTGAAAGGGGGTTCCAAAGAGGATGGAGTTCGGCTGTTCTCAGTGGTGGCAGACCACAGAACAAGTAGCAATAGTCTCAGGTTGCAGTTGGGGAGGTCTAGGTTGGATATTAGCACACGCTATTTCACTAGGAGGGTTGTGAAGCACTGGAATGGGTTACCTAGGGAGGTGGTGGAATCTCCATCCTTAAGGGGTTTTAAGACCCAGCTTGACAAAGCCCTGGCTGGGATGATTTAGTTGGTGTTGGTCCTGGTCCTGCCTTGAGCAGGGGATTGGACTAGATGACCTCCTAAGGACCCCCTAATCTTCTATGACAGGATCCCCAGTCATGGAGCAGGACCCCATTGTGCTGAGCATTGTGCAAACACACAGCAAAAAGGTGGAGGTGTGTGTGTGAGACAGCTTTCTAAAGTTTCTAGAGATGAAACAATGAAAAAGCAATCCGGTTCTTAAAAGAGAATTTTAATGAAAGAAAAAGTAAAAGAATCACCTCTGTAAAATCAGGATGGTAAATATGTTACAGGGTAAGTAGATTCAAAACACAGAGAATCCCTCTAGGCAAAACCTTAAGTTACAAAAAGACACAAAAACAGGAATATACATTCCATTCAGCACAACTTATTTTATCAGCCATTTAAACAAAACAGAATCTCGTGCATATCTAACTAGATTGCTAATTAGCCCTTTACAGGAGTTCTGACCTGCATTCCTGCTCTGGTCCTGGCAAAAGCAACACACAGACAGAGAGAACCCTTCCTCCCCCCCCGCCCCGCTTTGGACGTATCTTGTTTCCTCATTGGTCATTTTGGTCAGGTGCCAGTGAGGTTATTTTAGCTTCTTAACCCTTTACAGGTGAAAGGGTTTTTTCCTCTGGCCAGGAGTGATTTAAAGGTGGTTAGCCATCCCTTTATATTTATGACAGAGCCGGTATCCTGAACAAGATGTATGGGTCATGGGAAATAATTAATTGAACATAAGATTCTTGAGCAATGCGTTGATATAAATGGGAATATAGCACAGACCTAGGAAGGTTGCCCTATTGTTCTCAGGGGCTCTGGCACCCCCCTTTTAACAAAGATATTGAAAGACTGGAAAGAGTTCAGAAACGAACCACAGTGATGATTCAGGGTCTGGAAAACATGCCTTTAAGTGATGGAGGTAAGGACAATCTTTCTAGCTATCAAAAATAAGGTTAAAGAGTGAATTGATGAGTCTATAAATCAACTCTTTAATTTAGCAAGCAATGGCATAGCAAGATCCAATCAAGCTACATCAATCCAACCTGGAAATAACGAATTTTTAAACTGTGACAATAACTAATCACTGGAAGAGTTTATCAAGAAAAGTGAGAGATTCCCTCTCAGGGGGGAGTCTATAAATGAAGATGGGATGTCTTTCTGAATGACATGGTCTAATTCAAACAAGTTAGGAGGCTTGACACAGGCATGAAGCAGTGAAAGTGTCTCGCCGGCTAGATAAGGGATCTGGCCCTATGATCGTTATGGGGCTTAGGGCCGGACCAGCTCTGACTTAACACGGAGGTGACATGACCTTCACCCAGGGTTTGCCTGGATGCAGTGCTGTTGTAGCCATGTTGCTCCTAGGCTATTAGAAAGACAAGGGGGCTGAGGGAATAAGATTTTACTGGGCCACCTGCAGCTGGTGAGCGAGAAAAGCTTTCCAGCGCCACACAGCTCTTCTCTCTCACCAGCAGCAGCTGGGCCAGTCCCGCTATTACCTCCTCCTCCACCGTCGCACCGGCGGGCGTTTTCCGGGCAAGATTACCAGGGACTGACACGATGCAACCGCCACCGCGCCGCCCCCATGACTCGGTTAAACCCCGGCCGGGCAGACTCCTCCCGCCCTCACCCTGCAGGCACCGATCCGCCGCGGTAGAGAGGGGGCAGCTCCTAGAGTCGGGCTGTTCCCGCCCGGCCCCGCCTCAGGGCCAGGACCCCTGCGTCTAATCAGCTGGGAGGGGACGGCCTCCGCCCACGTGGTCAGCGCGGGGCGGTGGCATTCGCTCGGTTGCTGCCCCGGCCCAGCCCTGCTGCGGGGTCACGTGGGCGCAGGTGAGCCGGGAACCGGCCTTTGTCGCCCCCGCAGTCACACCTGGGAGGGCGGTGCCGTGTCACGTGACTTGCACCGGAGGCGCGCGCCCGGCCGGCCGGCCGAGGTAGGTGGGGGAGGGGTCCCGCGCGGAGGTGGCTGTGATGCGGCCGGGGCTCTGGGGTTCCTCGCGCGTCGGTCGGGCCCCGCGCTTCTGGCGCAGCCGGCCTGGGGTGTCCTTCCTGTGGGGCCTTCCCCGCCCGCTGAGGCCTTGCGGCTGCTGCTCTCCCGTGACCCGCGCGTCCCCCCGGCTACGGGCTGGTGTGGGCCCGTGGCGCGCGTGCAAACCCCTCGGCCCTGGGACCGGCGGTGCCCTAGTGGGGGGCGGTGTCACCGCTGCCTTGGAAGCAGAACGCCCCGCGGCGGCACCAGCCCGGGGGAGCTGGCGCTGCCCAGGGAAGGGCGTTGGGCCAGGAGACAGCTCGGTGGCGGTGGTTCCCCTCCCGCCCCAATGGCAGCGGCTCCCCGCTCTCTCCATGTGGCTTTAATAAGGCATAGAGAGTCTTACTCCCTCACAAAATGCAAACCAAACCCAAACTGCTTTGAATGTAAAATAAGGTCAGCTCCCAGACTGCTGCACTGGGCAGCACAACATGGGGAGGAGGGGACCAGCCCTCTGTGGAGAAAGAAGTGGTTCGGGACTATTTAGAAAAGCTGGACGAGCACAAGTCCATGGGGCCAGATGTGCTGCATCCGAGAGTGCTAAAGGAATTGGCGGATGTGATTGCAGAGCCATTGACCATTATCTTTGAAAACTCATGGCGATCAGGAGAGGTCCTGGACGACTAGAAAAAGGCTAACATAGTGCCCATCTTTAAAAAAGGGAAGGAGGAGGATCCTGGGAACTACAGGCCAGTCAGCCTCACCTCAGTCCCTCGAAAAATCATGGAGCAGGTCCTCAAGGAATCCATTCTGAAGCACTTAGAGGAGAGGAAAGTGATCAGGAACAGTCAGCATAGATTCACCAAGAGCAAGTCATGCTTGACTAATCTAATTGCCTTCTATGATGAGATAACTGGCTCTGTGGATGAGGGGAAAGCAGTAGACGTGTTATTCCTTGACTTTAGCAAAGTTTTTGACATGATCTTCCACAGTATTCTTGCCAGCAAATTAAAGAAGTATGGGCTGGATGAGTGGACTGTGAGGTGGACAGAAAGCTGGCTAGATCGTCAGGCTCAACGGGTAGTGATCAATGGCTCCATGTCTAGTTGGCAGCCGGTATCAAGAGGGACCTAGACAAATCAGATTTCTTTTGGCCCAATCCTCTCATGAGGTTCAACAAGGACAAGTGCAGAGTCCTGCATTTAGGACGGAAGAATCCCATGCACCGCTACAGACTAGGGATCGAATGGCTAGGCAGCAATTCTGCAGAAAAGGAGCTAGGGGTTACAGTGGACAAGAAGCTGGATATGAGTCAAAAGTGTGCCCTTGTTGCCAAAAAGGCCAATGGCATTTTGGGCTGTATAAGTAGGGGCATTGCCAGCAGATGGAGGGACATGATCATTCCCCTCTATTCAACATGGGGGGGAAGTGATAGCTCAGTGGTTTGAGCATTGGCCTGCTAAACCCAGGGTTATGAGTTCAATCCTTGAGGGGGCCATAGGGATCAGGGCAAAAATTGGGGATTGGTCCTGCTTTGAGCAGGGGGTTGGACTAGGTGACCTTCTATGAAGCCTGCCACTTACCCGTACCAATTGCTTCTGCCTTCATTATTCCCACTGTCTGTTTACATTTCCCATTATGGCTATGGTGTGTTTTCTGCTAGTCTGGCATTTCCTGGTGAGTTTGCCGCGGTTTAGATTTTGCATAGTCTTGTGCTTTCTCAGTTCCTGGATCTGACCTGAGGATGTCTGAGAGCATATGAGATTTGCAAACATCACTTTACAGACAAATGGCCCAAATCATGGTTACCCCTAAGTTCCTTTGAGCTGGTTAAACCAGAACAAAAGGGCAACAGTATGGGGCCCTTCCGTCTGGAACATGCACAGCACAAGAAGCCTGAGACCTATAAAGCTATCTCTGGCTTTGTGCTCCTGCATCCTCAGGAGCTTTGGTGTTGGCTGGTGTTCTGTAGGTGAGAGTTTCTTACTCTCACCTGACTGCTCAACCTAAGTTGGTTCTTTTGGATAACAGCACTAAATATAACATCCAAACAGTGCAGTATATTTTATTGGAGAGATGCAGGTGCATTGATTTAAAGACCCAAGAAAGTGGTACTATTTTTAATAGGCTATATTTTTATAAATGCTATATGACTTGCAAGATATAATTTATTGCTGGAATAATACATTTTTTTTCGAAGCTCAGAGCAGTTTCCAGTAGGAAACTTGATACCTGCTTCCTTATTAGCTTTACCCACTGATCATTTTAAAGCTAACCCTTTAGAAGAGTAAAAAAGGTCGTATGGAGAAACCAGATAGGATATGTTAGTCTAGTTTAAAAAAAAAAAAAAGACTGTTTTCACCACTAAGATGAGGCTGATGTATGATAGAAAACATTTTGTAATAGAATATTAATACAGCTGTACTGTCTGTTCTGATCCTTCATATGATGACTAACCTCCACTCCCCTGGATGTCAGTGGGAGTTGAGGTAGCTGAGCATCTCATGTGATTGAGTTCATAGTGGATAAAAAGAGTGGATGGATGCTGTGAATTTATAACCATTATCTTTTGTATTACGCCCTTAATGTTTCATTCCTGAATCTGATCTCATTTATCCTGCTGTAATATCAGTGACTTCAGTAAATGAGATCAGAAACAGGTAGAGTATCTATAAAATTCACCAGTATTAATAACACTAAGATTTTTAAAAGTGACTGAAAATCAGGCTCATTTAAGGCTCTCAAGTTGGGCACAGAAAAACTGAGGTGCTAAAAATCACTAGTCACTTTTGAAAAATTTGGCCATAATAGTTTACATTGAACTTAAGAAAACTTAAACATAGGAAGTGAACAAATATATTATCTTATTTATATTAAAAACACCCCCCCATATCCTCAAAACCATTTATTTCTACACATAATGGGCCAATTAAATTCATTATCTTTTTACTGTTTCCCTTTAAGTGAGTTTGTAAGTTATTTGGGATAGAGACTGACTTTTACTCTGTTTATATACTACCTAGAACAATGAAGCCCTGCTCCTAATTGGGGTCTCTGGGCCAGTGGTGGGCAACCTGCGACCCGTCAGGGTAATCCGCTGTCAGGCTGCCACGGCCGCCTGCAGCTCCCAGTGGCTGGGAACAGCGAACCATGGCCACTGGGAGCTGCGGGCAGTTGTGCAAATGTAAACAAACAATCTCGTGGCCCACCAGCAGATTGCCTCGACGGGCCGCAGGTTGCCTGCCACTGCTCTAGGCACTATTGTGTACAAATAAGAAAATAAAACTACAAAAGGTTAACATAATACAGCCTGCAGGACTTTTACGCTCTTTTTCAGGCAGATTAATAAAGTACAGTAATACATTTATTCAAGATAATAAACTATTGTGATAAAAGATGTCAGGTCAGATTTTGATCGCTATTATATAAAATGCAACCTTACTGCAACTGTAGTTTGGTGCAACAAAGAGCCATATTTGGCTTTCTGTGGACATCTTTTCATGATAGACATCTATGGAACGAATGTAGATGGTATGGAATCAGACAGAGTTCCAAATTAGAGAAAATGATTTAATATCAGACCTGGTGCAATTTCGCCTACCCATCTGTGATGGAAAATAAATTTGAATCCACTCTTTCATTTAAAAGTAGTGTAGGAAAATAAAGTGACCCACTCCAGAGGTGGTCCTAATTAAGGTCTCTTGGTTTTAAACTTGGTTCTCATTCCATAAAGTAAAAAGTGTTTCTTCTCAACATGCTATATGTGTGGTAAATCATTAGATTGATCAGCTTCTTTTACAATGCCCATTTGCAGCAGATTCAGTCACAGTGAGGATGTGAATGTCAGCAAAGGAGACTGTGAAACCACTCTGTGCATTCATTAATTATGTTAAGACAAGTTTTGGGGTAGTCTCAAACTAATTTCCTCTCACTTCCTTTAAAAAAAAGACTGGGCTCAGCTGTTGTATTTATTTCAAAATGTAGTTTTTACTGTACAAATTTAAATTTTCACCCTGTAATTAACTTATAAAGACCTGATCATGTTCTTGTTGAAGTCAGTGGCATAGCTCCCATTGACTTTAGTGGAGGCAAAAATAAACCTTGAATGAATATAAACTGCCTCTTGAAATGGACATTTATTTATTTGGTTAGCTATTTGGTAGCTGGCTGAATGGAAACAATCTGTATGTCATTTTTAAAGTAGAAGAACTAAGATAAATGTATTAACTGTATTTTTTTTTAATTTCAGGTAACTTGGTTTAAAGCAGATACAATGGTAAAACTAATTCATACCTTAGCTGATCACAGTGATGATGTCAACTATTGTGCCTTCTCCTCTTCCTGCTTGGCTACTTGCTCCCTGGACAAAACAATCCGCCTCTATTCTTTAAACAACTTTACTGAACTTCCCTACTCACCATTAAAAGGTCACACTTATGCTGTCCACTGCTGCTGCTTTTCTCCTTCTGGACATATTTTAGCTTCATGTTCGACAGATGGTACCACGATGCTGTGGAATACTCATAATGGTCAGACGCTGGCAGTGCTGAAGCAGCCCCGTGGCAGCCCTGTAAGAATCTGCCGATTTTCCCCTGACTCTGCTTACCTAGTTTCCGGTGCAGCTGATGGTAGCATTGTTCTCTGGAATGTGCAGTCATTGAAATTGTACAGGTAAATACCAAATTTTACTGATAATAACTAAGAAGGCATTTTGGAAATATAACATTCTTATGGCCTGATCATCACAGGTGCTGAGCTCCTGCTGACTTTACTGAGAGCTGTACTAGTTAACACCTCTCAGGATCAAGTCTTTAGGCCTTGTTTACACTGGCAAAAGTATAATTCACCAGTATACTACTCCACTGGTAGTATATCTGTGGTGGAAATTGTACTGTAGACATGGATAATGCATTTTTACCACCACATTGTCTAACACAGAGAAGAGGAAATTGGGCCCATAGAGGTATGGAAGAAGGAACTAAGATGGATAAAATCTCAACACTTCAAATGCCACAGCTATATTTGGTTAGTATGAAAAATTAGATGGCATCTTGGATATGCAATATTTGATTTAACTGTTGTTTTAGCCCAGCTCTTCTAGGGCCAAATCCTGATTCCTTTGTGATCAGGACTTGTCATTTATTGCATACATCATACTCCTTCAATAGAATTGATTTATGGCAACTGGGAATAAGGGACAATGAGACTACAAATTGGGGCTGTGTCAGATTTGATTAATGAGACAGTCAACATATTACATTTATTTAAGAAATAATAATAAAAATTCCTTTCGTTTATACATTAGTGTATTGTCATAAGTTAGCAGATTACTTATACACTTTTCATACCTTTTTACTTGCGAGAGTAGAATACACTTTAGGAAATGTATGCTTGTGTATTACCCTTTTTGTATTGTATTGCATAATTCAGATTAAAATCTAGTTCTAAACATACATAGTATAATGGTATGCTGTATTGTATTATAGTTTATTACACAAATGAAGCTGGAAAAGGATATTTTGTAAGCAGTATATTTAAAATGTCCACTATTTATCTCCTCCCCCTGCCCTCTATCTTATGCTTATAGAATAGTGTTCCAGTTTATTTATTGTGGATTGCTGTTGGTTTTTTTTATCTAGGGTTGAAGAGTTATAAGCCTTTTCAGAGGTGAAACCCCAGATTTTTGGCCATCAAAGGATGGCTATCCCTCCCAATTACCACTTGCAGAAGGCATACTTCAATTGAATTAAGTTGAATGGTACAAATAGCAGACCTGATCCTTCTTTTCTTTGCACATCTAAAACTACCACTGAAATCAGTAAGGGATGTGGGGACAGGATTTGGCCTGCTATTCATGAGCAACTAATTATTTACAAAAATAAGGATGGGAAATGGCCTTTTTTCAGTGATTCTGTTTACAGTGAAATGTACATTTTTTAAAAGATTTTATTGAGGATTTATCCAGTTTGTCCAGAGATATAGATAATTAACGTTCTGGGCCAAATCCTGTAGTCTGTATTTTGGGAAAATGTTGTTTGAATTTAGAGAGGGACTGCAAGTTTTGACCCTGGAGTTAGAAATTTAATAAAGGCTTCCTTCATTTCTTCATTGTCCTGACTAGTTCTTCCTGTTTTTGCACTAAAAAGCCCTGTGGGTTTAGCACATTTCTTAGGGCTTTTTGTGAAAAGAAGGGTACCTGGAGAACATTTAATTAACATTCTGCTGCTTCTGGACAGCAAGATGAGTGAATTAGCAGCTTGTGTAGGCAAAACCTGTCTTTTACCTGTTGTAGAAGTGTTACTGCATGAGTGGATTAGCTTCCTGTTGCCTTCGTCATAGTGACTTAGAGGTGAATTGGAAAACTTTACAAAACTGAATATTTTTTAAATGTCTGAAATCCTATACATGTAAAGGTTGACATATACATTTTTTTTTAAAGTGGGCTTTAGCCATTTCTTGCTTCTTTATAATGCATACAGAAGGCTTGAAGAGTGTGGTTTTTTTTTTAAAATTGCCTATAATTTAGAAAAATTAGGAATGTCAAATCTCACTTTGCTCAGTGGACCAATGAGAGATCTCGGAGCATGTTTATTGTGAGCTCTGAAGGATGAAAGCATTGAATTTTTAATAAAAGTTTAGTTTATTCAGAAGTTAAGTGGATGTTAACAAAACCAGTTAAAAACATTATCACTAAAAATCCTTTCCCTTCTCAATTACTTTCATACTCTTAACGTATGTGATGTCACCATTGTGCTTTCTCCGGTCATCAGTATCTTCCAAGCTGAATTTATAATGTAAAAAGCAATCCGAACAATTTAAAGTCAAACAAAAAACTCCTTTGTAGGCTGCTTTTACAAATCATACAGAGGCAAAAAAGAACAAAAGCCCATTTTTTGCCTTTGCAGATTCAACTTTAAGGCCTGGAGGGCCAACTGCTTGTGTGGCTTTTATTGCAATTGCGCTTTCTTTTTTTTTTGGCAACTGTGTGTAGTTCCATTCTCAAATTGGGCATTTGCATGCACAATTGCGTGCACACAAATGTGCATTGATCTCAAACTTCTATAAAAATGGGGCCTAATATGTGCAGTTAAAATTACAAAGAAATATAGCTTAGAGAAAAATAGCTGAAAATAATTTCATCCTTTAATTACCTGCCAAATGCAAGGTCTATGGTCCTTTGTTTCTCCTGCAGCATTTGATGGCCTTACTAATGGTTAAAGGAGAGTACAGAGAAGAATGCTCCTCTCACAGTTTTAGGTGTTCTGTCATTAACTGCTGCAAGGGAAACCGAAAAATCTTAATCAAGTCTGTTTGTGTGACTGGATTACCTTTTAGTTTGTCTTTGGTACACTTAACTTCATAAAGTCTTGTGAAGATGCTATTAGAGTGTGAAGTATTATTCATTTTTATTTTATTATTAAACCTCCATATCTAGAAGCCCAAATGCAGTTTTCTTAAGCCTTTTGATAGCTTTAATTCTTCTTCAAGTGCTTGCTCATGTCCATTCACCTTAGGTGTGTGTGCTTGCCACATGCACTAGTGCTGGAAGTTTTTCCCTCAGTTGTATCCATAGGAGACTGGCTCTGGTGCCCTCTGGAGTGGTATAAAGTGCAACGCCGGCTCCCCCCACCCTCAGTTCTTTCTTACCACCAGTGACGGTGCTGGAATGTTCCTTGCTTTGGCAAACCTATTTGTCCAGATCTGCTTTCCACTGTTTCTTCAACCGCCTGTCCCCTTTCCTCCCTGCTTGAGCCTCTATAAGTATGGACCAATGGGTCCTAAGTACTGTGGCTCAGGGTTATGTCCTCCAGTTTATTTCTCATCCCCTCACCACTCCCTCCCTTTCCCTCTTCAGGGACCCCTCTCGCCAGAACCTGCTTTGGCAAGAGGTACAAGGCCTTTTGCTGGTGGGAGCTGTGGAGGAAGTCCCTGTACACCACAGGGGCAATGGGTTTTACTCCAATTACTTTCTGGATTCCAGAGGCCAAAGGGGGTCCAAGACCCATTCTGGACCTGCAAGACCTCAACAGATATCTCAAGAAGTTGAAGTTCCGCATGGTCTCCCTGGCCTCCATCATCCCTTCCCTGGATCCAGGAGACTGGTACACTGCCCTCGATTTGAAGGATGCATATTTCCACATAGCGATATTTGATGGGCACAGATGCTCTCTCCATTTCACGATAGGCTCCGCTCACTACCAGTTTGCAGTGCTCCCATTTGGGCTGGCAACGGCATCGAGGGTGTTGACCAAGTGTATGTCAGTGGTGGCAGCTTACCTCAGACATCAAGGTATTCAGGTTTATCTGTATCTTGACCACTGGCTGGTCAAGGGCTGCTCCAGGTCCAGTCCAATGTCACAATACTGCAAGCATGTGCCACGCCCTGGGCCTGTTGATAAACGAGGAAAAATCAACATTAGTTCCAGTACAGAGGATAGAGTTCATCGGAGCAGTACTCGACTCCATCTGTTCAAGAGCCTTTCTGCTACAAGACAGGTTCCGGCATATGGTGAATCTCCTTACCAGACTCTGTGTTCCCTCTCACCACGGCCTGGGTCTGCTACTAGGCCACATGGCAGTGTGAACTTATGTTGCTCTCCACGCGAGGTTCAGGCTCCGGCCCCTCCAGCACTGGCCTACAACAGTCTGTTCCCCATCCAAAGATCACCTAGACAGGGTCATCACAATTCCACCAAAGTTACTTACTTCTCTGAGGTGGTTGATTGAGCGCAGTCTTACGTGGAGTACCATTAGACAATCCATGCCCCTTGGTCTCCCTGATTTCCGATGCCTCCAACCTTGCCTGGGGGGCACACCTTGGCAAGATGCGGACCCAAGGGACATGGTCCCCAGAGGAGCTGGCATTGCACATAAACGTCAAAGAGCTCACGGCAGTCTGATTGGCCTCTGGGGTCTTCCTGCTGCACCTCATGGGCAAAGTGGTATGGGTGCTGACGAACAACATGGCCTTGATGTTCTGCATCAACAGGCAAGGGGGAGCGTGCTCGTCAGCTCTCTGCCAAGAGGCATTCTGTCTGTGGGACTTCCGCATCAAGCATGCAATCCGCCTACCACCTCCCTGGCATGAAGAATACGCTTGTGAATCGCCTTAGCAGGTCCTTCATCTCTCATTATGAGTGGTCGTTCCATCCGGAGGTGGTCCAGATGCTCTTCTAGAGGTGGGGAACTCCCCGAGTGGACTTATTTGCCACCATATGGAACAGGAAGTGTTATCAGTTCTGCTCCTGTCGTGGTCAGGAGACCTGATGTACACATTCCCACTGATTCCGCTAATCAGTAGGGCCCTCTCAAAGATCAAGAGGGACAGAGCACGGGTCATCATGATTGTCCTGGCGTGGCCGGGTCAACACTGTTTCACCACACTGATGGATCTGGCAGTAGCTGCCCCCTGGTCGCTCCCCAACTGCCTGGACCTCCTGTCGCAGGATCACAGCCCGTCTACTGCTAAGCCTTGCCTTCCTCCGCCTCGCGGCGTGGATGCTATGTGGCTGAATCCAGAGGAACGGAGCTGCTCTGATCAGGTACAGCCTGGAGAGTAGAAAGCCTTCCACTAGAGTGACTTACCTGATAAAGTGGAAGAGGTTCTCCTACTGGGCATCGGAACATAGCATCTCCCAGATGCATTCACCCTTGCAGTCTATCCTAGACTACCTGGTCCACCTAAAGAACCAGGGCCAAGCCCTGTCTTCTATTAAGGTGCATCTAGCGGCCATCTTGGCTTTTCACCCAAGCGTACAGGGGAAATCGGTCTTCTTGCACTAAATGTCGGTCAGGTTCCTAAAGGACCTGGAGAGGCTCTTCCCACTGGTTCGGAACCCGGTCCCTCAATGGGACCTCAATCTGATCCTCGCCAGGCTCACATGCCTGCCCTTCGAGCCTATGGGCTCTTGTCCCCTCTCCTACCTGTTGTGGAAAGTTGCCTTCCTTGTAGCATTTACATTAGCCAGACGAGTGTCAGAGTTGAAAGCCCTGACCGTGGAGCCACCGTATACGGTATCCTTCAAGGACAAGGTTCATCTGCGATCCCATCCAACCTTTCTGCCAAAGGTGGTGTCCTCTTTCCATGTCAATCAGGACATTTGTTTCCTGGTGTTCTGTCCTAAGCTTGTCTGCTGAGGAGAGGCAGTTGCACACCCTGGATGTTCTGCGTGCCTTGGCGTTCTACGTGGAACGTACCAAACCCTTTCACAGGTCAACCCAGCTCTTCATCACAACAATGGATAGGATTAAGAGCCTGCTGGTGTCCTCTCAGAAGATCTCCAACTGGATTACTTCCTGCATCCAGTCCTGTTATGTGCAGGCACGGGTCCAGCGGCCGCCTATTGTGAAGGACCACTCAACTAGAGCTCAAGCGTTCTCAGTGGCCTTCCTGGCACACCTTCCTATCCAGGACTTTTGCAGGGCCGCGTCGTGGTCTTCGGTGCATACGAACACGCCACACTATGCCATCACCCAGCAGGCCAGAGATGACACTGGGTTTGGCAGAGCTGTGTTACAGTCTTCACGTCCATGAACTTCTATCCGCCTCTGGTGGTACTGCTTGGGAGTCACCTAACATGAATGGACATGAGCAAGCAGTTACCTTTTTCATAACTGGTGTTCTTCGAGATACATTGCTCACGTCCATTCCATGACCCACCCTCCTTCCCCACTGTCGGAGTTCCCGGCAAGAAGGAACTGAGGGTGGGGGGAGCCGGTGGTGCCCCTTATACCAGGCTATGCGGAGGGCACCAGAGCTGCTCCCCTATGGATACTGCTGAGGGAAAAACTTCCGGCACCGGTGTATGTGGCGAGCACTCACACGTAACGTGAATGGACGTGAGCAACACATCTTGAAGAACACCAGTTACGAAAAAGGTAACTGTCTTTTATCAACTGTTTGCTTTACCTTTAAATTACCACACTTTGAATGCTGTATGTGTAACTGATTTGTATCCATTGTTATGGCTAAGTTACTGTCCCTCAGAAAAGATCCAGTAAGTGACATAAGCATTTGCAAAGAAACAGTTGACTAGATCTTTTCCTGGAGAAAAGAAGGGTGTCTCCGTTTTAGCTGGCATTGAGAAAAGTGAATGGCAGTTATAAAGAGGTGGGGGAGGGGGGAGTGTATTTGTGTTAGTATTCATGATGCTACGGTTAAGGATATAATATGGAAAAAGGTTTCAGAGTGGTAGCCATGTTAGACTGTAGGAGTAAAAAGAATGAGGAGTACTTGTGGCACCTTAGAGACTAACAAATCTTTTGAGCGTTAGCTTTCGGGGGCTAAAACCCACTTCATCGGATGCATGCAGTGGAAGATACAGTAGGAAGAGATATGTGTATATATATACACACAAGTGTTCCTTTTAGGTAAGAATAGCTTAGTGTAGCTCTTATGTCTGTGTTTAGAGAGAGAGAAGAGCCATTTCATTGATTAATTTATATTTGTAAAACCACAAGAGATGCCTAACTCTTGGCACTTCTGAAAATAATTAAAACTGTAATCCACAAAAGAAAACCACCAACTATCCCACAATACAGTAATCCATACTGAATAGATGGATAAACTGAATTTTGTCTCACGGGATAGAATTGTTGCTTGTGGTCCACCATTTTCTAACTTGGAGCCTGTTCTAGAGAGCATGGAAGCCAATGAGACTTTCCATTGACTTCATTGGGCTTTGGATCAGGTAGGCTCACTGAGTGCAGCCAGTTGATGGGACACTCCACTAATTAAATATGAGCTAATGGCTGGACATTAGAAAGAAGGCAAAACAAACCTGCATATCCACTATAAACTCCTATTTTGCTAGAGATATTTTTTTAAGCGAGTTGTACAAATTCGTTCCTAACTAAAACTTGGCATACAAAACCTCAGGCTGAGAATAATTTAAAAAAAAATAAATAAAAAAAAATCCTTCAGACTGACTTTATTTAAAAGAGATTAAAAAAATAGAAATCAGTTCTTTTCTTGCATTTCTGTTGTTCAGCAATGGTCCCATGTCCTAAACCGGAAAATATTAGTCTCTTAGACACATAATATGGATCTATGCTTGAGTTTTTGGAGGAGTAAAACCCAGATCTGACAGACTGAAACTTATCTAGTTCATAAATGTGATTTTCTGTTTATGTATATTAAAGTCTCTGTTGTGATGGTTGCATGTTAATCTTTGATTTAGATAAATGTCTGAGTTGTAATTTGCTCAGTATCCTCCTCTTGGGAATACTAAATCCATGAGGGTGGGCTTTAGTTCAGGGCTCATTTTATTACTGAATCAGAATATTGCCTTGGGGTAACATCTCCTATTCTCCTTCTGTGGTCAGAGAGTAAATCGCTGTGCATATGTTATATATGTGCTTATTTCACATCTGTTTGTACAGTTTGTCATCTTCTGTCCTTTTTTATTACACTTTTTAAGCTCCATATTTAGAAACAGTTCAGTTTTTCACTATTTTTTCTATATCATACGGCAGTTAGAGATCAAAACTTCAGAGTATTACATTCCCTAAACTCAATCCTTTATTCTCTTGCTTTTCAGATCTGGGAGCGTTAAGGATGGTTCCTTGATGGCATGTGCGTTTTCTCCTAATGGAAATCTCTTTGTCACTGGATCATCATGTGGAGATTTAACCATTTGGGATGATAAAATGAGATGCTTGTACAATGAAAAAGGACATGATCTTGGTGTCACCTGCTGTGATTTTTCTTCACAGGCAGTTTCTGGTTAGTTACTTTAATATTTTAAATAATTCCTTTTTCATATTACTTTTTCCTCCAGCTCTTGCTTTTATTGATAACTTTTTTATCATCAGTGCTCAGGGCTGAATAGCAACTGAAAGTGTTCTTGATGTTTCAGACTACTCCCAGTGCCCCGCATTTGCCCTTGTGCTGGAGTTGATGATGAAATGTTCTAGGAATTTAAGTAGATGGTTGTACACTTCATAGCTTGTGTAGACCAAGCTTATTGCACACCCCAGAGGTTCTTTGAATTCCTCTGTTTCCTGCACCCCCACAAAAGCTCACTGTGTGCTACAGTCCCATCCCCCATTTTTTTAGGAATTTCCTGCAACTGCCCCCACATTCTCTCCTGCTAGAGATTGTGTCCCCCTCATCTTCCTATAGCAGGGTCCCACATTCTCTCCTCCTCCCATACTAGTGGCTCTGTGTACACCGCTGTTCTCACCACCCCCTCATGTCCTCCATTCCCCTCCATGGTAGGGGTTCTGTCTGACTTCCTTGCTTCCCAGGTCAGGGGCTGTATGTGTCCCGCCATACCAGGTACCCACAATCTGTCCCCTGTCATAGGATCATAGAATAGAATCCTAGAATATCAGGGTTGGAAGGGACCTCCAGGAGGTCATCTAGTCCAACCCCCTGCTCAAAAGCAGGACCCATACCCAATTAAATCATCCCAGCCAGGGCTTTGTCAAGCCTGACCTTAAAAACTTCTAAGGAAGGAGATTCCACCACCTCCCTAGGCAATGCATTCCAGTGTTTCACCACCCTCCTAGTGAAAAAGTTTTTCCTAATATCCAACCTAAACCTCCCCCACTGCAACTTGAGACCATTACTCCTTGTCCTGTCCTCTTCCACTACTGAGAATAGTCTAGAACCATCCTCTCTGGAACTACCTCTCAGGTAGTTGAAAGCAGCTATCAAATCCCCCCCCTCATTCTTCTCTTCTGCAGACTAAACAATCCCAGTTCCCTCAGCCTCTCCTCATAAGTCATGTGTTCTAGACCCCTAATCATTTTTGTTGCCCTTCGCTGGACTCTCTCCAATTTATCCACATCCTTCTTGTAGTGTGGGGCCCAAAACTGGACACAGTACTCCAGATGAGGCCTCACCAATGTTGAATAGAGGGGGACGATCACGTCCCTCAATCTGCTCGCTATGCCCCTAGTTATACATCCCAAAATGCCATTGGCCTTCTTGGCAACAAGGGCACACTGCTGACTCATATCCAGCTTCTCGTCCACTGTCACCCCTAGGTCCTTTTCCGCAGAACTGCTGCCTAGCCATTCGGTCCCTAGTGTGTAGCGGTGCATTGGGTTCTTCCGTCCTAAGTGCAGGACCCTGCACTTATCCTTATTGAACCTCATCAGATTTCTTTTGGCCCAATCCTCCAATTTGTCTAGGTCCCTCTGTATCCTATCCCTCCCCTCCAGCGTATCTACCACTCCTCCCAGTTTAGTATCATCCACAAATTTGCTGAGAGTGCAATCCACACCATCCTCCAGATCATTTATGAAGATATTGAACAAAACCGGCCCCAGGACCGACCCCTGGGGCACTCCACTTGACACCGGCTGCCAACTAGACATGGAGCCATTGATCACTACCCGTTGAGCCCGACAATCTAGCCAGCTTTCTACCCACCTTATAGTGCATTCATCCAGCCCATACTTCCTTAACTTGCTGATAAGAATACTGTGGGAGACCATGTCAAAAGCTTTGCTAAAGTCAAGATACAATACATCCACTGCTTTCCCTTCATCCACAGAACCAGTAATCTCATCATAGAAGGCGATTTAGATTGGTCAGGCATGACCTTCCCTTGGTGAATCCATGTTGACTGTTCCTGATCACTTTCCTCTCATGTAAGTGCTTCAGGATTGATTCTTTGAGGACCTGCTCCATGATTTTTCCGGGGACTGAAGTGAGGCTTACTGGCCTGTAGTTCCCAGGATCCTCCTCCTTCCCTTTTTTAAAGATTGGCACTACATTAGCCTTTTTCCAGTCATCCGGGACTTACCCCGTTCGCCACGAGTTTTCAAAGATAATGGCCAATGGCTCTGCAATCACAGCCGCCAGTTCCTTTAGCACTCTCGGATGCAACTCATCCGGCCCCATGGACTTGTGCACGTCCAGTTTTTCTAAATAGTCCCTAACCACCTCTTTCTCCACAGAGGGCTGGCCATCTATTCCCCATGTTGTGATGCCCAGCACAGCAGTCTGGGAGCTGACCTTGTTCGTGAAGACAGAGGCAAAAAAAGCATTGAGTACATTAGCTTTTTCCACATCCTCCGTCACTAGGTTGCCTCCCTCATTCATTAAGGGGCCCACACTTTCCTTGGCTTTCTTCTTGTTGCCAACATACCTGAAGAAAACCTTCTTGTTACTCTTAACATCTCTCGCTAACTGCAGCTCCAGGTGCGATTTGGCCCTCCTAATTTCATTCCTACATGCCCGAGCAATATTTTTATACTCTTCCCTGGTCATATGTCCAACCTTCCACTTCTTGTAAGCTTCTTTTTTATGCTTAAGATCTGCTAGGATTTCACCGTTAAGCCAAGCTGGTCGCCTGCCATACTTACTATTCTTTCGTCACATCGGGATGGTTTGTCCCTGTAACCTCAACAGGGATTCCTTGAAATACAGCCAGCTCTCCTGGACTCCTTTCCCCTTCATGTTAGTCCCCCAGGGGATCCTACCCATCCGTTCCCTGAGGGAGTCGAAGTCTGCTTTCCTGAAGTCCAGGGTCCGTATCCTGCTGCTTACCTTTCTTATCTGTGTCAGGATCCTGAACTCAACCAACTTATGGTCACTGCCACCCAGGTTCCCATCCACTTTTGCTTCCCCTACTAATCCTTCCCGGTTTGTGAGCAGGGCTGTCAGGGTTCTTTGTGCTTCATTCCATCTTCCTCCCACTCTCACCCATCCCCCTCCTCCCATGCCAAGCTCCCCCATTCCCCTTCTTCATGGAAGGAGTTTTGTGTGTTACCCCATTTCCCTCTCCCCCTTCAGCAGTGTCTCCTCTTCTCCCCCATGGCAGGGACTCTGAATTCTCATTACTTCCTTTCCTCCATTTTCCTCTTCTCCACCATTCCAAGGGCTCTGCCTCCTCCTTCCAACTCCCCTCCATTCCAAAGACTTTGTGCCCCATTCCCCCACCCCTGCATGCCAAGGGTTGTGTGCATGCCCCTTTCTCCCATGGAACCCCATACATTCTCCCTCCCCACTATTCTTCTTTCTGTCTGAGCCTGTGAATTACTTCACTCCAACATGTTAAACTCTATTGGGAGGATGAGCCGAGATTAGATGGATATTATGTTGGAAGGTGGTAATGGGTGCCATCAACCAGTTGTTTGATCTATAGACAGTTGTAAAGGTGCTTGAGTCTGTAGCTGTGCTCAAGAGGGGCTTCGTGTGCCTCCCATTTTGATTTTCTAATTTTCCCCAAAATCAGTAGGGTTCAGGCCATTAATACCTAGAACATTACCTGAAATTTTGGAATTGATTGGATGGGGCATTCAAAGACAATCATGTTACAGACAGATGGATATACTGACAGGCTAACAGAAAAATGCTGTCAAATTTAGTGTAAGGCCTTTGCAAGCTCAGCCAATAAGTAGTCCAGCATATTTATAAAATCATTCAGTTGCTGATTATATTACCTTTCGTTTTCTCTTGAGAGCGATGGCTGCAGTCCTCCCAGCCATGAGGGTGAATGACTGCACCACCACCATCTTTGAGGGACATTCCTCATCCCTCAGGACCAGGGCAGCATACCAGTTTTTCATCTTTATTGACAATGGGTTTGGAGTAGGGGTGGTGCATTGCCTGCTGCCAGAGGTAACCAGCAGCCAGCTTCCTCCGTTTGAAGGAGCTGTTTCCTCTTTCCCTGGTGGTTCATCTGCAGTCCTCTCCAGCTGGATTAGTTCCTCAACCTTGAAGTCTCCATATGCATGTTTTCAATGAATTTTTCATTTTCATGGATGCTCCTCAGCCTAGCCATCTCCTCCTGTAGCTCTCCCACCTGCTCCCTGAGAGATTCTACCAATAGACACCTTTCATGCAGGATGGTCTTCCCAGCCTGGCTTTCTGTGACAGGGAAATGCAGCCTGCAATCCCTGTGAATCCACGCCCAGGATCTGGGTAGGGAAATCCATGGTCAGAGTCTCTGTCTCCATATAGATGCAGGTGAAGGCTCCAGGAGCAGTGTTGGCATTGGGGAGGCAGCCTTTCCAAATCATGCTGATTTTATTCTTTCTCCCTCCTACAAACTCCCTCTCAAACTCCTCTGTTTGCTGCCCCTTGTTCGCTAGCTCCTCTTGGTCACTTAACACCTGGCTTTTAAGTCCTTCTCTCCTAGGTCAGTCCTGCCCTCTCATTCTTGACAGTTTCACTGCTTTCTCCAAGTTCTGAATAACAGCGGTGATATTGACCAGTCTTGTTGTTTTCACTCTGCTGTTGCTTGGCATTTGGTAATGTCTGTCTGCAGAGTCAGAGCAGAACTGGATTAAGTTTTTTCAGGGCCATAGACACAACACAGTGTAGGATCCACTGTGGCTGGACCCTCTGCTTGACAGTGGTCCTCATCTTGACAGTGGTCCTCATCTTCATTTAAAGAGAGGCAGACGTGGCAGCTGGTAGGCCCCTCCTCACTGGTGCTTATTCCTGCAGCCAGGATGCTCCCATTGGGGTGGTGAATAGGCTAAGACAACTACTCCTGCCACACATGCATTTCTTTACTGGGGTATTGTTGGTCGCATAACGAGTCCTATAGTTAACACCCCATTGAAATATGTGGGGCCATTCAAACTTCTTAGCGCTATTATGTCAGGCTGTCTACAGATTTAGGCAGACACCACTACATCTATTATGCTGTGTTCATATTTTCAGGCTTTTGCTCACAACCAAGAGGGCTAGAAACTTTTTAAAAAAAATGAAATCTGACATGCTGACATAATTGCAGGAGCTGTTGCCTTGGGCATGGGCCT